CTCCAAGATCACTTTCAGCTGCTCTGCTGCTGAGAGAGGTCATCCCCCAGCCTATAACTGTGTTGGTGGTTCTTTTTGCCCAGGTGCAGCACTTTGCACTTGTCTCTGTTGAACTGCATCCTATTTTGTTCTGCCCATTTTTCCAACCTATCCAGATCTGTCTGGATCCATTCCCTACCCTCTGGTGTGTTTAACTTTGCCCCATAATTTGGTATCATCTGCAAACTTGGACAGGGCGCTCTCTATTGCGCACCCCTCACTATAGGGGCAGCCTCAACCAAGATGACAAGGCTGGCATTGGTGCGTGCACCCTAAGATGGCTACAAAACTGCTTCAGAAGACTACTTGGCACAAGCTACCTCCCACACAGGAAGTGTAGTCAGCTTAGTGCAGCCCTGTCATGTGCCATATCCTCAGTGCATCACCTTGCTCTTACCCCGGGCCCCTTAGCTCCGATAGTTTGCAGGCTCTGAGCTATACTGGTGATAAAAACAACTTTTGCTAGTTGTTTTGGTAGAGGTTCCATGGAAACTGCAGAATCCAAAATTCTTGTATACAACTCTGTACCCAATTTATTTCTCTTTCACTTAAATCAGCTGATTGATTAAAACCAAATGCTGGTACAGAAATCAGAATAATTAAGCAATCTCGTATAATATTAAATGGCATTTTAATTGCAAGTATCCTAAATCTACATAGCTTGAAGTAGAAATGCACACAGATCTTTCTGTAAATCAGTGTAAATGCAAATGCATGTATTTGTGTTACTGTTTTAGGGATGTTTGAAGGAAATAATTGCAGTAGTTTATTATTTGGAATGCAGTCCACCTGGATGAACCATGTCAGTGTTTGGAGTTGTGCAGGCACTTGCATTTGAAGGCAAGTGCTACTTTTCTTAGGTGCATTAAGACAGAGTGACTAGCTGTGAAAGCTGTCTTGATATCATGTGCAGAGTAATGAGCACAGCATACATTTAGTGATTAGAATTGGGATTAATGTGGGATTGGTCAAGGTAGTTAAAGCCATTTTCTAAGTAAGCAGTAACACAAGCTTTGTGTCTGTCATCACAACATGCAGCTGAGTGCTTCTGTCACCTGAGAAATGCATTCATTAGACTAAAATGCATCTTGTCATATTGGTTTCTCTATAAAATGCACTGTGTAGTTTTAATTTCAGTTGTGCTGTAGCACTCGTTTCCTGCTTAGTTTTGAAATCTTTTTTTAGTCCTATGAAAGGCTGTTGCACTGTACCACCCACTCTACACACACTTTTTTTTTTTTTTATTGAAGACTATCTCATTCTGACTTGGACAATAATAAAGCTGAAGCTTTACCAGCTCTCTTCCATCTGCCACTGGGGGAAGGGGGCTGGAATATATCCTCTGAAGTGCTCTCATTTTTTTTAATGGTCACATGGTGATGGCAGCTTTGATTGCTTGACTCTAGGAAAACCATAGCTCAGGTTTCTATTATGTGGTCATTGTTCTCCACAAAAGTAGATGCTCAAGCCTGGACAGCCCTACTGTAATCAAATGTAAGATGAACTTGGTTCTTAAAATATCTTACAACATAGGGGGGGTAATAAAGGATTGCAGGGATTTTTCTCAAGAGAACGTGGGATAGCCATTATGGGATAAGATGATTCCTCCTTTGCTGTTCTACACTAGCAAACTCTATTTTCATATGCACATTTTAACTTAAAAAAAAAAAAAAGGATCTGTTTTGGTTTTTATTCGGACCTTTTTTTTTTTTTTTTAGGAAAAACGGAGTAAGACATGCACAACAACTTAACTTACGAAAGGAGAAAAAAGCTTAATTAGAGGTAAATGCTTTACATGTATTTAAAAAAAAAGTATTAAGGGTTGGTCTTTTCTACGAAATAGTATTTTTTTTGTTTTTTTTGCAAAAGTTAAAAAGAATCAAACTTCGGTATTTTTTAAGAGCTGAAAGAAATGACTGTTTAAGTTACTCCCAAGGTGTTATCAAAGTTTTGGGCAGCACCTGGAGTTGAAAATTATTGTTTTAAATATAAAGTCAAGTTGCAAGAAAACTATTTTCTATTGAGGAAAAAGGGTGCCTTTTAAAAACCTGCATCTCCTCCCCACCCCCTCCCAATACTATAGAGTGAGAAGAACAGAAATAATTGAGTTTTTAGTGATTACAGTTCTACAGTTGTAACAAGCTGGAGATCTATGCAAAGCTTGTGAAACTGACCATTTTACAATGATTTTAACAGAAATACTTTCTTTCAGTGCATGGCAGTGCTCAAGCTTGTGTTACCAGTTTGATTACAAATATGCATTATATATGACAGAATACTTTGTCACAATTAAAATCTTCATGCTGATGGCTATTTAAATGTGGCCACGGAATCTTTTCTGGGACTAGCTGGCCATTAGGCAACTAAGCACAATTCTTGTAAGCTCTGACCTCCACAAACTGATTTATTGCATTCTCTCTGCCAGACGGAGTAATTTCAAAACCAGCCCTTTCCTTCTCCGATAAAGTTAGTAAATAAAGTTGCTGATGGGTTTAAAACTTGGGAGTGACCAAGTGCTCAACTATTTTTGGGTTATCTTCATTGTCTGTCTACAAGTGTAGCTAGATCTGGTTGGGTAGCTTAAAAGAATTCATTCTGCAGGTGGGTAGCCCCCACTTCCTGAGTAACTTGCTCCTCATTCACATCCATCCTTTTGAGTAGAATTAAAAGTCCATCTTGGTTTTAAAACATTTATAAAAATCCCACCCTAGATTCTACATGAATTCTGGCTTGCCTATCACAGTACATGTTCTGAGTCCACGTGTACGTGGCAGTAGACCCAGTGAAGGTCCACAGTTGACAGTTCAGTGAGATTTTAATCTTTTGGCTTTGGAATGAGCTGAACTTAGTGCACAAATTCAACATGTGCACTGGGTCCCATAGCTCTTCTCCTCTTGGCAGGTAAGACTAGTGTGAGGGGGATGGTACTAGTCAATGGCTTAAGGACATACTTTTCTCTCTGCCTGCTCCCTAGCTAATAGTAGCTGAAGATGCCTATGAGTTGGGAATTGGATCGAGTATTTTAGACCTGAGGGTTGACAGAGGCCTTAAATAAAACCTAGCTTGAGGGTGGCGGCTGAGGGTTAGCTAGCTAGATTTGTTTTTGTAACACAGACAAGGAAGTGGTGCAGACTGCAAACTTATTAATGTGATGGTGTTTTATCTGATCAGGTAGGGGTTTCATAGATTTTATAGACATTAGGGCTGGAAGGGACCTTGAAGATCAAGTCCAGCCCTCTGCCCCAGGGCAGGAAGTCAGCTAGGGTCAAAGGATCCCAGCAAGATAAGCGTCCATACATGTCTTGAATGAGTCTAGAGTAGGTGCCTGCACCACTTTTGGTTTGCTTCTTTTGCCTAGAAACGAATGCCTCTGTTCTGCATCTAGGCATGTATTTAAACATAAAAGAATAAGCTAGTTAGTGAAATAGGGAGAGGGGGATCATAGCAGGGTCTGCACTTCCCCTTGCTGCTGCCTCCACCTCTTTTCCCCCCCCACCCCAGACTCTGGTGCCAGCTATGACTTGGCTGGGCCTGAAATGGCTGCCACCGACCCTTCCTGGCCAGCCTGGCCTGGGGCCACTACTGACTGCCCTGGAGCCACAGCTGCTGCCCAGAAGATAGGCAGCAGGGTGGGGGAGAGCACAGGCATGGTGGGGAGGTGCATGCGGCAGGGGAACAGATGCAGGGTGGCAGCAGGGACAGGCATTGAGGGGTCAGGCTGGGGGCAAGGAATAGGGCTCCAGCCCCTTCTCCCTTGTCAGTGCTTCGGGTGAGGGGGAATGGTGTGTATAAGGCAACTCTGCAAAATTTAAGTTTTTACATGGACAATTATAACACTTAAAATCTTCCGTCTAAAATCTAATTATTGGGCAGGTAGTCTTGATTTCAGTGTAGCCTTGGATTTGGGTAGATATGCTAACTCAGGATTGTCAGGCACAAATTAAGACTCATCTGA